TTTATAACCTGTAATCTGAAGGCTCTGATTATTGTGAATATTATCTCATTAAGTGCGCTAGTGTCAATTGACAAAATTTGAATATTAGGATATGGGGTGTGCGATAGACTTACCTCCACGTGGAGCACCCTGGGCAACGTATACTCATGCGGCAAAAAAGTCTATAAACCAGCAGTTGACTTCTGACTTCAAACTACCATCACCAAACTGTAGGTCATATTCGACTTCTTCCACAGTACTCGCCTCACCTTTCATCTACCTCTCTGTCTGTTTCTTTTACATCTTTAAAACACTCTTCTGTTCACTCCCCCCTCCCGAATTTTTTCGATTTGCCGTTCCTTTCCTTCTGTGAAGCCTAAAGTCAACTAAAGGGCTAATGATAACTATCATAAAGCCTGCCACTTGATTTAAATAATATTATGATATTACGATAAAATTCACCCAATATTAATAGACGTGTAACTCAATGCCTTCAGAAATTAAGTAAATTAATGTACTCGATGCCATGACTACAACAACGAGAGCTTCTTGATCTTCACAATTTTCATACATCAACGAAAGCAGTTATCCTTCCTCATTACCCGATGCATTTCCCTCGAATTTAAAAGATCTTAATCTACATCATCAATAATAATAAGAATAATGGCTGTTTTATTATCAGAATAATAAATACAAATTACACTTAAGGACTAATTCAACCACTGTTAATAGTCTGTTTTCTAATTATTTAATAGCCACATATTTCTCCTATTTAAACTTTCAACAAGTCCTAAACAGTTTTCGCAACAGTTTTATATCATAAAATGTGTACATCACTAAGTTAACTTGTTTTGAAATAGATGAATGATTGATGACACTTTTTTTCTCTAATTGTACATCTGGAAGTTAAGGAAATGAGGAAGGAGGGAATTGAACCTCTTTGTAGACTATTTACCAATCCTATCAAAAGCAACCACGCAATGCACGATAATATTATCATGTGCAATTATTAAATAGGGCAATAATTTCGTCAACAAACGAATTTAAAATATAACTTACAAAATACTGAAGGCGCTAGGGATTTCCGGTTCAATGGTAAAAGAAGCATTTGCCAATGGAACTGTGTAAGTTGGATCTCTCTTGGGGTTATTGGCTGAGTCCTCATCCTGAAAGACTAAAAGCTGCAATCCCTCATTATCCAAAACAACCCACTCCTTTCTGCCTTTGCGACGAGTAAAAAGGGGGCCTGTCAATGCAAAAAGAATAACAACAAAATTACAAAAAATGCTGTCAATGCGTTTAAAACATATTATTATTTTAATAATTGTTGCTGCTCATTTCAAAGCTAACAAACATTTATGAATTCTATTTCTGCCAAATCATCAGCCTAAGGATACTTCAGACAAGCCCATTAATGCATGAAAATTGAATGGGGTCAACAAAGAATAGACGCCTTTAGGAGAACATCACGAATAATGTTGCTCATAAGTTCAAAAACACTTTCTTGTCCTTATTTTCAAGATGAAGAAAACCAATTTGTGATATCATAGCGCCCACTCCATAATTTACTACAATACCCATATGCTAGATTGTGTCTACTGTTTTGAACTTTGAAATTAATTTTGCGGTTAGCTATGGCACCTCAATTTGGATTTTCATTTAAAAATAAGGGCCTTATCATACCTTTTCCAAACACTTTGGACTGATCTAACATGAAGGAACTAGTGTTGCCTAGTGCGTCAAATGACGAGCTTTAACGACACAATCACCCAATTATGTTCATGTTAAGATCAGGCCTATAATCCAAAATTAGCCGAATCACTCCGAGCTCTTCATATGATGAAGGACTTTTGATCATCAAAGGTTTAATTGATTATAAACACCATGGGGATAAGCAACCAAAACTAATAGTTAAGCAGTTATATTGAATGTCAAAACTTATTTTCTTTTGAATCATACTCAAAAGAATATATCTTCTTCCTTTTAGGGATAAGTGAATGACAGAGCCTTTATGAAACAGATGACTTTTAAAGACGGAATTTTAGCGTATTAATGCAACTTCAGTTGAGCAAAATAGAATACTATCTTCATTTTTCGTGGATAAAATCTATCAAAAATTCGAAAAACTAATGAAAAATAGAAGAATGCGAATTTCTTAATATAAATTATTTCAAAATGTGAAATAAACGATTTTGCTTACGTACACTTACTTAAAGAGACATGTTATGTTAAACAGACTTGAAAAGTGAATGCTGAGAAAGGATATATTCAATGCTTGCTGAAGAAAGTCATGTCATCTAACATTAAACACTGATTGAGTTATTTAAAGCAAAATAAATTCCGATTTTCAGTTTGAAGTTCCAAGAACAATATGTAAGTATTATTATATCTGTAAACCTAATTAAATTTCTCATTATCGACTTTAGAAAAGACATACAATTGCACATAGGTATTCGTAATATGATAACTTTTGTTCATGTATTGGCCAAAGCTTGGCAAATGAAAAATCACCGAAATAATTAAATTCCTCAAAAAAATAAATGATCCAGAGTTCACTATTTTGTGCCAGTTTGCATTGTATAACGCTCTTCTCTCAAAACTAGTGAAGTTAAATTAGGTTTCTAAAGAAGTAAAATTTGAAATAATTCATCCACAGTGGGATTACCAGAATCTTTCATCAATAAAATATGCCTAACCCTATAGAATATGTACTTATTTCCAAATTGCGCGAATCCGACAAAAAATCACATCTTAAGTTATGATGAAATTTGGCTTTACTTTTAAAATACATGGTCTTAAATGCTAACAAAGTCATTAAGTTGTTTAATTGATTTTATTGTAATGCAATTCTCAAACCGCGTAGGACTTATCTGCTCATATCATTTTGATAGACAGGAAACTTTTTAAAGTTGAAATAAAGTATATTTTCAGATAAATTTACATATTTATTATACTCCAGAGTAATCATGATGTGTTTACTTAAAACGAAATTTCTGTAAATGGAAACTCGTTATGTGCTGTTTGCTTGGGTTTGAGAACTAAAGTGTCAAGAAGGGATTTTCACTATTGTATTAAAGTGTCGAAGCATTACGACTGCTCTTGGCTGCTTAATGAGAGTCTATCTATGTATCGTGGCCTAACACTATAAATCAATTCAACGGCCAATAAACATTTTGACACCCAATATTTAAGCTGATAAAAACGTTATTTAAACTACGAAACATTAAAAATACTGAATGGGTAATATGTACTTAAGTAACAAGTGGAAGATCTGATAAACCCTAATTAGGTAGAACTCTCTTAATGCATTGACATCCGTCTCTTATTGCGGCTGACCCTTAGCAGGCTAATTTACGACAATCTGTTTTTAGTGGATTCATATGGTTAACAATGACAGATTTGGTACTGTTATGGGTGATATGAAATATAAATTTTGAAATAAAATGAAAAGTTATATAGGCTTACTGGCAAGACTGAGCTTCCGATGTTCGGTATGTTTAGGTTCCAAATATCCACAAATCTGTGAATGCATTTCTCGCGAGCAAAATGAATAAGCTCTCAAATTAATGAACTGTCAGGCTCAGTTAGATATCTCAATCAGTGCACGGTTTACATGCCTTTTTCTTTTGATTGGTTATCATAGGCTAATATATGACCTTGATATAAGAAGTGATTACACAGTGGGTTTTGCGCATCTCTGAAACATTTAGCAGATAACAAAACATGTTCCAGAGATTAACTCAAAGAATAATGAAGAAATGTGAAATTCAGCATTCACTATTTTGTTGACAATGAATTGACACTATTTTCGATTCCCTTTGTTTCTATTTGCATACTCTCCCTGGATAATCTATAAATGGAGAAGTTTCATAAATTTTATCGACTTTCAAATCCTTTTGAAACGAATGAGTTAGCTATTACCCTGATTACGAAAACAGATCATAGGCAACAAAGTTTTCAATTTTGGTTTACCTGATAATCATGAGTATTTCGTTTTGTATGTTTATAATTCGAATTAAAGTGGAATTCAATTAACCAGTCTCAAAAATGCTTTAAACGCTGGATTTTAGATTCTTCCTACCCTATTTTGCCTGTGCACTAATAGCTATCGGTTACACTATGTTATCGTCTAATCGAATACATAGACATAGTTTGAAGGAAAGGGGTGTGCGATAGACTTACCTCCACGTGGTGCACCCTGGGCAACGTATTCTCATACGGCAAAAAGGTCTATTAACTGGCAGTTGACTTCTCACTTCAAACTACCATCACCTAACTCTATGCCATATTCGACTATTTTCACAGTACTCACCTCACCTTTTTTTCTACCTTTGTGTTTGTCTCTTACATCTTTGAAACACTCTTCTCTTCTCTACCCCCCCCCCTCTCGACTTTTTCAATTTGATGTTCCTTCCCCTCTGTGAAGTCTGATGTCAACTAAAGAGCTAATGATAGCCATCAAGACGCCTGCCATTTGATATAAATAAATAAGTTTGAAGGAAATTGTTTTGAGTCACGCGGTTAGGATACTTTGTTTCCTTTCTACACAACTGAGGCAAACTTATCCGACGTGAACATTGATGGTGTTCTTCTGGTAAGTGATATTCAATAGGCTGTTATAAGAATTATGAACATTGATGAGATTTAATGCAGTCAACTTATTTTAGACTTGTAAGCCTTATCTATAACTAGCCTCTGTAAAACAATGATTATTTTATTTTGGAAATGAACGTTTCCTTCATTTTAGACTTTAAATTTTTGCTCTTATTCATTTGAGCTGGTGATTCCCATCTTTGGATCAAAGGATTTATATTTTTTATGTTTTACTAACGACATTGCACTCAAATTATAGCCTTGATTGACCTCTCAATCACCTTTTATGAGTCCTCTATTTCGACTTGATAACCGATAACTCACCAGACTTTGTGAGTGAAAGAAAATTCGCAGGAATTCGCATGGCAACCTAAACGAAGTTATCAGTCTTGCAGTAGGCGTATTTGGCACTAAGAAAAATTAGTGGACGTCAGATACAATATTGCTTCAATATGCATTTCGTTTGAATAAAAATTGGTTGAACTCTAAAGTTTGAAGTACTTTATGCAGTTTAGCTGAAAACAATTTTAGATGTCCTAAATCAGGTGGCCTATCAGAATAACTTGGATTATACTGGATTTGAAGTCTCATTGACCAAAGGCTTGCTTTTATCTTAAAAGAACGTGTGGGACACGTTATCGCGTTGTGCGTCATCGTATGCCTGCATGTCTGCTCGCCAGGATTGGGAGGTGCGGCCGTACAACTCTGTGTGCAGCAACCGTACAAACAGTGACCAATCATCAACCTCTGTTTAACCTAATCCCCCAACCTGATCATGAGTAGCTCCCTGCGTGTACACACTTGATCCTCAATATACGTCCTGAATAAGCGTGCTCCGTGCTACACGTCTGTTTCCTTTTTAGCTGGGCTATAGCTAAGCTGGTTCTGGGAGTCTAGATAGGTGTAGGAGGATCTGCCATAGAGATTTCTGAGTCGGTCAGGCTTTACTAAACGTATTTGAAATCGTTCTAATGGAATAATTACGTTTGTAATCTATCCTTGAATTTTTTGAAGAATTTTTAATAGACATTTTAAACTTAATTTGACTCATTTTCTTTCAAATTAGGAAAAGTTATTTCTTCATACATGTTGTTGTTGTTTTCAAATGGCAGGCGTTTTGATAGCTAT